TGGAAAATGTTTGCCATTGCCTTCCTCTAAGAATGAGAAAAAAGTGTGACTTGTACAAAGCCATCTAGTAAGTTTCCATGACTGATGGGGATTCAAACCTTTATCTCCTAAAGTTTAAGTCTAACACTACAAACAGTATACCATATTGGTTTTCAATTTTAATATAGTCCATCTCAACATCACCCCACACCACTGGAGAAAGTATACTGTTTAGCTGGTATAAATGAAAGGACCAAGGCAGTGACATCTCCAGCCCATCCTTTGCTCGGATTTCAACCAGCACGCCAACTCCTAAAATTAAGAAATAGCTACAGATATACTTGCAGGAACACTTCCGCAAGCAAGAGTGCAAAAGTGGCAGGCTAAAACCCAGAACCTCAATCAGTGGCTGATACCGAATGAGAGACTCCTTCCAGTCACATAGAAGACTGGGTGGCTTGGAAGGTACTGAACAGACCGTGCTCTGGCACCACGAGAGCCAATCTTCAGAAATGGGGCTACAAAGTGGAGTCTATGACATGTGAGTGTAGACATTAGCAGACCACAGTCACCCTACTACAATGCAGTCTGACTCCTGCCACATGCACAATGGAGGACCTTCTTACAGTGACACCAGCTTCTGGTCAAAGAACATTTAGTATAATGCCAAGTTTTAAACTTTGTTTATGTTTTTAAATACTTTATACCCTCAATTCACTTCTGGCATGATAGATAAATAAATAAATCTCAACATCTGTGTGTAACCATTACAAACAATTATTTGAATTTGAATGCATCTCACAACTGTAGAAGATGGGGGCCAATTTAAATCAGGTATAAGATAAAAATGCCTGATGAGTCCACTGTCCAGTTGCTAATGGTTTATGAGCAACCTGAATGCCCATCCTTTTCCTCCTTCTGTTTCTTTGTCTTTAAACCAGACTTGGCGTTGCCTTTTCTCACTTCAAAGAGAATATACCAACAAACAGAGGATTAGCTGTGGGAAAAACAGATGCATGGCTACCTTACAAACCAGGCAAAAGGTCTGCAGTAACACTTCTCTTGAAAATTATATAAGGCATTGCTAAAATCCATTATCATCTGGATCATGTGATTTTGGCCTTGAATGGAAGCAGAGATTCCCCTAGGAACTTCAAAAGGAATTTGTGATGTGACACGCAATGAACCCTTTGAAGGTCATCTGAAGGTTAAAAAACACAAATTCCCCTAGGATAGCATTATAGTCTGAACCTAAGTTAGATTTTGACCATAGAGCTTTTTGCAGCCCATTTTAGTAACTCAGCTCAATACAGCCCAAACATAAAAATCTTCTCTAGTTTTGTGGATGTCATCACTTGAAGCTGGTTTAGTGTAATCCTAAAGGTTGAATTCCTCTCCCATTGCCAAAAAAAGCTTTTTGAGCTAATTTGAACCTTGATCTCCAGCTGCTCAGTGGATTTCTTTGAGTGAATGGGAATTTAAACCTGGTCTCACAGATTCCTAGTCCAAACATAGTGCACAGTGTCTATTGACCCCACAAGATATCAGGCTAGAAGAACTCAAGAAGAACAAGCTATTGTCCCTATCGACGCCTTCAAAGGATGACCCTACCATTAAGTAGAGTTTAGAAACTCAAGAAAATGATTTCTGTAGTCAGGAAAGTTAGTGAATTTATAGTTATTTAATCTGTAGTTACAAGTTGAACATCCTTAATTCAATTTTCTGGAATCCAAAATACTCCAAAATCTGAAATTGTCCACATGTGTGGCTGAAACAGTCATATCTTTGCTTTCTTATTTTTTAATATGCACAAATTTTCTTCTGTGCACAAAATTATTAAAAATACTTTACAAATTACCTTCAGTAAAAAAACAATAGGGAATATAAATGAATTTTGTGTTTAGACTGGAGTCTAATGTCCAAGATGTACATACATATAAATACAGATGTTCCGGAATCCCCCAAAAAATCAAAACTCTTCTGATCACATGCATTTTGTACAAGTGATGCTCAAACTGTCCTATATTGTTGTTGTTGTTGCTGTCGTCATCATTATTACTGTATTTTCATATACATTCATCTCAGAGAGAGAAAACATGTCTAAACAAAAAAATTCATATGTGTTTCCTATTTAACTACTGGGGCAAAGAAGTGTATGAGATTTTTGAACATTATTATTATTATTATTATTATTAATTATTTATTTATTTATTTGGTCATTTGTTTATTTATAATCCGCCCTATCTTCTCTGCTGGACTCACAGCGGTTTCCAACAGAAGATGGCAAACATTCAATGCCACAATAAACAATAGAAACAAAACAAGCCAAATCGAAACAGTAAACGAACACATAATACAAACTTATAGTAACTAGCCAAAAAGGTAAGTAATCAAATGGTACAAGTGGTACATACAACATAGCATAGCTAGCGTTTGAATTGGATGCATTTTGGTGGGTGATGGATATCACCTGCTGCTCTGCTGCAAGAAGCAAATGTCTTGAACCAGCCCTACCACCAGCCCCTCACAATCCCCAAATGGCTCACAAGGAATTATTCAATGCCCTCTGGAAGCCATGACCACCCACAGCTCACAATGAATAGCCAAGTGAACAGTTTCATGGAATTAATTGAAACGTTTGAGCCTTGGAAGGAAAACACATTAGTCATTTAGCAGTTGTGCTAATACTTGGCTGCTTTCTTTGCTATTTCATTAGAGGCACACGGCTCCAATGGCCTGATCGTATGCTCAGTCACTGCTCAATCAGTATCTTGAGTCCTGTCAAGCTGTCCTGCTAGGGCTACAGCTGATAAGGTGCCTGCTCTCCCCGTCACCTCAATTATTGACTGTATTTTATGGTCAACGTAATGGCCAAATGCTTATCAGGAAACCATCAGGTGCCGGTAATAGGAGAGTGACCCTCCGTTTATATGTACCATTAATGCTCATTAGTGAATAATTAGATTCTTTAATCCACAAACTCAGAGGCATGCAAATATGATTGAGCATCCCAATTCTAGAAATAAGTCTAGCAAAGGCTTCCTTTGAAGATAAATTGCTGAAGCGCAGTTCTGGGCATCTGTGAACATTGAAGGCCTAAAGTGTGCAAAGTGATGGATGGATTCAGAGAGCTTTGTAACAACCGGAGACAGATTTATCTCTGGCTTGTTTAATAATCCAAACTTGAGAAAAAAATAAGAAGGAGGGAGATTGGCTATTGTTTGTAGCACAGAACAGAGCATGCAATTAATAATGGAAAATTATTATGCACATTCACTATCATGAAAATGTGTTATGGGTACACATAAATACACACACACACATTTTGTTTTTGAATTTTCCACAATACCCTTATTTATTATTTATACTCTATCAAGCTCCAGAACTAGAGGCACCTGTAACAAGAAATGGTCTGTTAATGGTTTTTATGATGTTGTCTTTGTTTTAAAATAAGTTTGGAGACAACAGTCAAGCAATCAGTCAAGATTTGGAATGGCAGCATTGTAAGAACAAGACCGGATCCTGAAGTGTAAAGATATATCACTAAATCACAAAGTTAGGATCGCCTATGGCATCACATTCCCCTATGCTATGTAGGGTTGTGAAAGAGGGACAATGAAAAATGCTGATAAGAAGAAAACCCACTCATTTGAGATGTGGTGCTGGAGAATTGTAGATATTGTGAAATGCTAAAAAGATAAACAAGTGGGTCCTAAAACCAATCAAGTCTGTAGTCTCCCTAGAACAATGGTGTTTTGGCCTTCAACTCCCAGAAATCCTAACAGCTGGTAAAACTGGCTGGGATTTCTGGGAGTTGTAAACCAAAACACTTGGGAACCCACAGGTTGAAAACCACTGCCCTAGAAACTGAGATGACTAAACCAAAGCTGTCTTTCTTTGGCCATATAATGAGAAGGCATGACTCTCTTTTAAAAGGTGATAGCACTTCATAAAGTGGAGTAGGAAAAGAGGAAGACCACATTGCAGATGTATAGGCTCCTCAATGGTCCTGAGACTGCAAGACCAGAACAAAGCTGTTTAAGATAGGGTGACTTGGCAATTCTCTCATTATTAGGGTCACCATAAGTTGAAGTCAACTTGAAGGCAGTTCACAACATCAACAAAGATTTCAAATGTTTTAAATTATGTTCTTGTTTAATGCTCATTTAATATTAGCTTTGCGTGTTTTAAGTATGTGTTTTTAATGAGTTTTTCTGTCTTTTTTGAGCTGCCCTGACCTAGTCTGGGAGAAAGGTGAGATATAAATAAATCAACAGATAACTGTGTGAATGTCTTGAGAAAATGTTCCTTAAATTCTGGAAAAGGAGAGTCAATAGTTAATATACTGGTGATGTGCTTCATTGGGAACTATGGGATGAAGGAAAAACTAGGAATTCTGGAAGCTGGTATGGTAGACAGATAGTAAAATCATTTTCCATAAGAGTATTGTAGTTCTGTTTAATTTCTTTCAAAACCTGATGGAAAACAGGGTCTGCTGTCAAGTCCTATCTAATCCGCAGCCAGTATATTTGTAAATAAATGTCAAGATAACAAAACCTCATTTTGCATCTTCCTTCCTAATGAACCCTGAGTCAGCACTATATGTCTCCCCGCTTGGAAGTGGAGTCCATCACAGGACTTTCACCTTTTCTCACTTCTATAAGATTAGATTACAAAGGCTAGCATTGACATACTGAAAAGAACTCTAAAACAACAGCAAAGTCTTTGAAGAAACAAAATTAGAGACATTTTTAAAGTAGCATGTTAGTGTTAACCAGTACTTATGAAACACAACCTTAATCATTTTGTTACTTAGCTTTTTTGAGATTAACACATATGGTAATAATAAATGTGTTTTTTCCTTTATAATATATAGGTGATCAAAATATAATTCATCCAAGGAACTTCCCTACATTCAGTCATCTGAGCTTCCACCTCTAACAATGAAGCTCAACAAACTTTAAGTCTATCAGCATTTAATTCCCAACAGCCAATGTATAAACCATAAAAATGAAAGCTACCTTATGAAGAACGATGCTGCTGCTGAAGTACCTGCAGAGACGCCGGCAGGAGTGACCAAACTCTGGGAGTTTCCAGCCCCTGTTGGGCCACAGTTGTTCTGTCCTGAGGAAACTTGAACATTAGAGCTTTCCTTTCCACACTCTCCAGTTGTTGCTTCCTGAGGGCAAACCAAAATGTATATATTTATTAGGTGATAGACTTATTCATACTTAAGCAGCATGAAATTGGAATGAAAACAGCATAGAGGACATCATTAAAACTGGAATCACCTTCTGAAGTTACTGCCTGTGTCACAAGTAATAAAATAAGCAATGGGACTAATATATGCCAACACAGTGAACATCTACATACACCAAGTGATACATTACCCCAATATTCCTGGTATTTCTTGCAGCCAAAATGGCCCCATATATGCACAAAAGGTATTGACAAAAGGTTTCCAGAAGGATATACTTGTACACACATGACACTATGTAACATGATTTTTGCTCCTAGGTTATAAATGTCATTTCCTAATTGGTTCTATCAAAAAAAAAGCATGGAAAAAGTTTATTAAACTGCAAAAAAAATGTTTGCAGTCTGCACATTGAAAGGTTTAAAATGGCATATTAAAACAAAGAGCCTAGACTGCAGGAAATAATAGCACTACCCTTGGCCACAAAAACAAAGTTTCTGGAGTATAACAACTACTGTCAAAGTAAGTATCACACAATTAAGCAGGAATAGAAAAATTTACATAGTGTAATATATTTGTAAATTCAACCTATACATACATAACAAGATATCTTGAGATGTGGAACCCAATTTCAAATACCAAATTCATTAATGCTTTATATATAATTTATTAAGTACATAGCATGAAGGTAATTTTATAGACATTATTTTTAATAATTCTGTTCATGAAGCAAAGTTTATGTACACTGAACAATCAGAGAAAAAAGGGGTCACTACCCCAGCCACTCATGTGAACAATTTTCACGAGTTTCGGATTTCTAGATAAGCAATGCTTAACCTATCCTACTGGTCAACAGAAAAACGATTAGTAGTGGTGATATTAGCAGCAGTACTTGCAAAATTATACTGATGTTAGCATAATAAAATGAATCCTTCTACTAATATGAAAACCAATGAATTCAATCTTAAGGTTACTTTCATAACTTGTTTATTCCTTTATTTTATATCATCATATCTACTGTTCTTTTAACTTGCACTCATGATTGTTGTCCTGATAAGCTTTTACAAAAACCCTAAAGTATAAGACATTCTTGTTTGTGCCAAAAGTAATTTCTGACTTATAGCGACCCTAATGCGAACATATTAAGGAATTTAATTGAGAGGATTTGTTCAGATGAGGATTTCATTTGCTGTTCTTTGACAATAATAGAGTGATGAGTTTCCATTGCCAAGTCCTTACTCAAACCCTGGTCTCCAGTCATAGTTCAATGCTCAAACCACTACACCACACCGCCTCTCTATGGGATATTGTCCCATTAAGTAGTGTCTCGTACTATTGCTCTCACTACTATTATTATTAACCAGCTGTTCCCAGATACTGGAATGCCCTCCAATCACACTGAACTACAACGTCTGTGAGCAAGAGCCAGGATGGATTGGGGTGATGGAAGCTGTAATCCAACCCACCTGGAGGGCACCAGGCTGGGAAATGCTGCCACATTAATGCAAGAGAAACAGATATGAGACACTTCTTGCCCATAGGGACTTACAAGCTACATTAGATCAACGCAACTAGGAGGAGGATAGGATGTCAAGGAATGGAGGTGATGAAAGTATATGAGAGCATCAAACAGCAACGGGGGGCGGGGGGATGATTGTTCAGGAAACAGTACAGTAGAGACATGGGCCTTGACAAGGCACTTGAAAGAAGAGCAGAAGGCACCTTGATAAAAAGGTGAAAAGTCAAGACACATTGCTGACAAGCGAAGAATCAAAGATGACTCCAAAGCTGTACTTTTCAAAGGCATGGGGGAGAATATTATTTCCACTGTAACCACAAGAAGTGGGAGACAGAATCCTTTGGGTAGGGAAAATATTGGAAATTCTCTCCTCTCCCTCTGGGATGTTAGCAGGAGATCTAGGAGGACGTATCAGAGATATAGGATTAAACAGAAGGTTATCTGCAAGACTATTATTATCATCAGATCTTGGGAGACCTGTGTGCCTTCCACAGATTACTTTGTGATGTTCCCTAACCCACTACATCTGTTTGACAAGCCGCTTCCCCATGTCTTTCCTATATTGTGTACATAACCACAGTAATAAGTAATAAAAGGAAGGCATGTCAGCAAAGGCCTAGTGCTGGACAAGGTTAAAACCATGACCAGAGGCAGACAACAGGAATAATACAGAGACCCTTTGTTATAGGTAATGCACTGTTAAACTGTCTGACAAGCATGAAAACACAAAAAACTACTAGCAGAAATCTTTCTGTTTTACGGCATTATTTGGTGGCTGGCAGAACGGTTTATCTGCTTCAGTTATAACTGTCAGGAATTATTTCTCAGTGGCACATCATCTACAAGCTCTATCTGTTTTAAGGGGAACTAACCAAACACAGTCACATCTGTATCATCTTTTCACATGAGCAGCCAAAAGAACTGAGTGAAAACATTTATTTCTTTTTATAGAAAACTTTATAGGAGTTATTCAAGCTGCTGAACCTACAACCAGCATAGGATCAGCTCCTTGGTTTGCTCCTTTAGTTTCACATTCTCACTGGCACTGAAAAGGAGCCTCAGTGGCACAATGGATTAAACCCTTGTGCCAGCTGAACTGAAGACCAACAGGTTGCAGGTTTGAATCTGGGGAGAGAGTGGATGAGCTCCCTCTGTCAGCTCCAGCTCCCCATGTGGCGACATGAGAGAAGCCTCCCACAAGGATGGAAAAACATCAAAACTTCCAGGCATCCCCTTGACAATGTCCTTGCAGATGGACAATCCCTCACACCAGAAGCGACTTGCAGTTTCTCAAGTCACTCCCGACACAAAAAAAAACTGGCACTGAAAGTCTGTTGAATGATGATGGAAGTGCACTCTTGAATGATGATGGAAGTACACATCCCCCTTTCCTGCTAATGAACAACCAAGGAAAGTGGAAATGCATAGGTTCTTTCCAAACATGACATCAGATTATTATTGTGGGTTTTTCCCCAGTTTTCTCAGCCAACAACACTCTAAATCTTTGCCACAGCACTGCCATGTGTTCATATAAATTTCTGTGTGGTGTGTTCTTTCCACCTCCCAGCTGTTAAGAGTTATTGGATCATTAAAGTTGCAAAGGAGACAATGCAGCCTCCATGGACCTGCCCTACTAGACTCAGAGCTCCACTACAGAGGTGGTGCCTGCGGCTTGCGTTCACCTTTCTAGCCTCAAAGTTGCACTCCTCTTTGGCCACAAGAAAGCCAGAGCTCCACAAGCAGCTACAGAAATCATCCTGAAGTGACAAAGTTAGTAATCTCTTTCCAAAAACCTGAAGGAAGAGAAAAATATTAGTTAGACGAAAGTTGTCTTAAAACTTATTTGGATCCCCATTAGAACTTCAAAATACCGTAAAATAAAATGGCCTTTAAACAGAAACTAGGGGTCCACTTAACTGTTTTTAGGAAGGACTCCTAAAAGTAGCACGCAAAACCTTTTAAAATATTGAATTGCCTTATATGCCCATATAAAGTTGACTTTAAAGAGGTCAAAAGTGGTGCTATAGTAGAGGGGGGGTAGTGTTGATGTTTCTTTTAGCTTCTCTCAGGATTTTTGAAACTCTACTCAGAGAAGGGGATGATTCTGTTTTAGATAAGAATTAAGGTACAAGTACTTATTTAATTCAACTCAAGTGTTTATTTGCAATATTTATATTCCACCCTTCTCACCCCACAGGGAACTCAGGGCGGATTACAATGCACATATACATGGCAAACATTCAATGCCATTAGACATATAACATATACAGACAGACACAAAGGCAATTTGACATTCCAGCTTTCTGGTTTCATGAAGGTATGCTCGATTCCAGCCACAGGGGGAGCTGCCAGTTGATTGTTCACTTGTGAACAATGGAGTACTTCCTCATTCTTACGCATGCTGCTGAAAGGTTTTATGGCGTCATAAATTAGTTAAATTATCCTCCCCACATAAAGCAGTACCAAAATTTCCTACTTGACAGATACAACTGTCTTTCGGGTTGCATAGGTCAACAGCAAGCTGGACTATCAATAGTGGGGCGCTTAGTCCAACCCGAGCTGGCTTCAAACTCATGACCTCTCAGTCAGTAGTGATTTAATGCAGCTGGCTATTAACTAGCTGCGCCCCAGCCTGGTGTTCTGACTGAAACTTCTAGACTCAATACATGAGTACACTGTATATAGTAGATTATATGCCTCAATACATATTTGTCACTACGCTACATGACTTCACATGGGATAATATATGAATAACATTTGCAAAACTTCTCATATTTGTGCAATGGGATCATCCTTGGAGGCCAGAGATCTGAAGAATATTTGTATAACTTCTCAGGTTTTTCCAGCAGGATCATGATTGCAAGTTATGGATGAGATTTGTAAAACATCCTGTGGAATGGGTTCATCACTAGAGTTCAAATATGTGAAGCATATTTGCAAAACTACTCATTTTGGGGCAATGGGGTCATCACTGGAGACTATGCAGATGAATTTCTCTTGATGAGAAATGCTGTCTGTTGGGAACTGCACCAATCTTCCATAAGAGTTCTTGCTTTCAGTATGAGAAAATGTCAAAAGAATGATATTCTTTTCCCATCAAGTTTTCTGTAATTTGGTTGGAAAGTCTCTGCACAAAAGAACAATCATGAGAAGTAATGCATATATGTACACACAACAAGCAGAGAAGGATTGCCTGGTGGGTTAGAAACCCAAAAATAATATCACTATGTAATATTGCTAACTGGTTTGGAAGAAACCACAAGGGCCATCCAGACTCTATTTTAAAACCTTCCGCCACACTCCAAACCAGCATATTGCACTATTTAACAGGGCTTGACCATCAGGAAGTTCTTCCTAGTGTTCGGTGGCATCTCTTTTCCTGTGGTTTGAATCCACTGACCTGGTTCCTTTTCTCTGGAGCAGCAAAAACCAAACTTCCCCCCTCCTAAATATGAAATCCTTT